CCCTCCCACCCTCCCTATCCCACCCCTCTAGGTGGTCACAAAGCACCAAGCTGATCTCTCTGTGTTATGCGGCTGCTTCCCACTAGCTATCTATTTTATATTTGGTAGTGTATATATGTCCATGCCACTCTCTCACTTTCTCCCAGCTTACCCTTCCGCCTCCCTGTATCCTCAAGTCCATGCTCTAGTAGGTCTGTGTCTTTATTCCCGTCTTGCCCCTAGGTTCTTCATGTCCACTTTTTTTTTTTTTTTTAGATTCCATATATATAGCATAATGTTTTTTTTTTTTTTTTTTTTGATAGGTATACCTGGATTTAATTCTCACTTCTACCGCTTGGTAGCTGGATAGCCTTAGGCAAGTTTCATACCTCCCTGAAATTCACTTAATTCAGTCTGTAAAATGGCATAATAACTTATTATAGCATCCTTTTAGGAATTTTAAATCAGTTCTTGAAATAAAAGTACACAATATATAGACAAGTATGGATTCCTCAATAGGTGTTTGACCTTTCATTTCTCCAGTATCCCACCCGCATCAAATAAAGAAAAATACTTTTTAAAATTTACGAATATTTCATTGTTGTAAAGTTAAAGCCATAAAAATAATCAAATGGCCTACTATCATACCGTTAGAAGAAAAAAAAAAAAAAGGTGTTCATGAGAGTTCCATATTAGAATACAAGTTTTCCTTAGGCACCTGTTTATGTATGCTATTCTGCTCTTTACAATAAATAATTAAATTTAAAAGACTTAATTCCTCACTTTTAAGACCTTATTAGTTTACAAATTACATATTGACCTATGCTAAATTTTATACCGACCCATGCTAATGAATTCAGTACAGAAAACAAAAAACACTGCACTCAAGCAAACTACATATATATATATATATATATATATATATATATATATATATATAACTTATATGAGAATTGCTACTCCAGCTTTCTTTTGGTTTCCATTTGCATGAAATACCTTTTTCCATCCCCTTACTTTCAGTCTGTATGTGTCTCTAGGTCTGAAGTGGGTCTCTTGTAGACAGCAAATATATGGGTCTTGTTTTTGTATCCATTCAGCCAATCTGTGTCTTTTGGTGGGAGCATTTAGTCCATTTACATTTAAGGTAATTATCGATATGTATGTTCCCATTCCCATTTTCTTAATTGTTTTGGGTTCGTTATTGTAGGTCTTTTCCTTCTTTTGTGTTTCTTGCCTAGAGAAGTTCCTTTAGCAGTTGTTGTAGAGCTGGTTTGGTGGTGCTGAACTCTCTCAGCTTTTGCTTGTCTGTAAAGGTTTTAATTTCTCCATCAAATCTGAATGAGATCCTTGCTGGGTAGAGTAATCTTGGTTGCAGGTTTTTCTCCTTCAACACTTTCAATATGTCCTGCCACTCCCTTCTGGCTTGCAGAGTTTCTGCTGAAAGATCAGCTGTTAACCTTATGGGGATTCCCTTGTGTGTTATTTGTTGTTTTTCCCTTGCTGCTTTTAATATGCTTTCTTTGTATTTAATTTTTGACATTTTGATTAATATGTGTCTTGGCGTATTTCTCCTTGGATTTATCCTGTATGGGACTCTCTGTGCTTCCTGGACTTGATTAACTATTTCCTTTCCCATATTAGGGAAGTTTTCAACTATAATCTCTTCAAATATTTTCTCAGTCCCTTTCTTTTTCTCTTCTTCTTCTGGAACCCCTATAATTCGAATGTTGGTGCGTTTAATGTTGTCCCAGAGGTCTCTGAGACTGTCCTCAGTTCTTTTCATTCTTTTTTCTTTATTCTGCTCTGCAGTAGTTATTTCCACTATTTTATCTTCCAGGTCACTTATCCGTTCTTCTGCCTCAGTTATTCTGCTATTGATCCCATCTAGAGTACTTTTAATTTCATTTATTGTGTTGTTCATCGTTGCTTGCTTCATCTTTAGTTCTTCTAGGTCCTTGTTAACTGATTCTTGCAATTTGTCCATTCTATTGTCCATTCTATCCCCAAGATTTCGGATCAACCTTACTATCATTATTCTGAATTCTTTTTCAGGTAGACTGCCTATTTCCTCTTCATTTGTTAGGTCTGGTGGGTTTTTATCTTGCTCCTTCATCTGCTGTGTGTTTTTCTGTCTTTTCATTTTGCTTATCTTACTGTGTTTGGGGTCTCCTTTTTTGCAGGCTGAAGGTTCGTAGTTCCTGTTGTTTTTTGTGTCTGTCCCCAGTGGCTAAGGTTGGTTCAGTGGGTTGTGTCGGCTTCCTGGTGGAGGGTACTAGTGCCTGTGTTCTGGTGGATGAGGCTGGATCTTGTCTTTCTGGTGGGCAGGTCCACGTCTGGTGGTGTGTTTTGGGGTGTCTGTAGACTTACTATGATTTTGGGCAGCCTCTCTGCTAATGGGTGGGGTTGTGTTCCTGTCTTGCTAGTTGTTTGGCATAGGATGTCCAGCACTGTAGCTTGCTGGTCGTTGAGTGAAGCTGGGTGCTGGCGTTGAGATGGAGATCTCTCGGAGATTTTTGCTATTCTTTGCACCCAGTACACAGTCAGTATTCGATATAGACGTGCTGCGTGACTGAATACTTCTTCATCTTAGTAGGTCATGTGGAAATCATCATGTTTCTCCTTTTGCTCTGGCTGCCAGGGAGCTCCAAATACATGGCACAACCATAGCATCTTGGTTATGTTAGCATATCTGAAGTCTCCTCCTGTCCTTGACCTCAATTTTCTATTTGGGGCTCTACTTGTTTGCATTATTGCTTATCTCATAGTAAGCTGCCTTCAGGCTTCTGGGGTCCCAAGGCCAGGCATGCAGTCAGTCCCACACCGTTCCCTGAAAAGCCCCTCAAACGGATGAAGCCCTGGAGCCCTGGAGCCCATCCCCCATCCCCAGCGTTATCCTGGCACTGGCTCCAGCCTGGCGCCACTCTGTTCTGGTCTCTCCCTGCCCCCACCCTCACCCTCCGGACTCTGGCAGGCATGTCCTCCTGACCGAGCTGCTGGGCTGTGACCACGCATGTCCGGGCCCTGGGAAACCAGAGCAGCCAAGTGCTGGGCTTCGTGCCAAGGCCTCGCACACCTCGCTCTCCCGGGAGCCAGGTTTCAACCTCTTCCTGGTAATCTTTCATGAGCTCACACTGTCACGGATCCATCTAGAATTCTCACAGCTCAGGCCGGCGTGGAGGAGGACGGAGGGCAGCTGCCGTGGCCTGGAACCCGGAAGACCTGAGCGGATGCCCTGCCTGGGGTCTCCCCCGGGCCTGCTGGACTTCCCAGGTGACCTTGAGCAGGTGGGGCCTCTTTCTGGGCCTAGGTGTTTCCACCTTCAGCTCGTTGAGATAGCGTCTCGTGTGCACCACCAGCAGGTCTTCGTCCGAGGCCTCCCGTGCCTCCACCAGCATGCTGTCTGATAGAAGTTTCTCTTCTTTTAGGAAGTTGATCACTTTGCCCCATTTTCCTGCATCAAAGGGGTGCAGCTTCTCCAGGCCCAGGAAGGTTATGTTGTAGCGCGGTGAGTACACGATGGGCCAGCGTGACTCCGGCACATGCTGGTACAGCTGGGTTGGGTGTGGCATGCCGGGGCCGGGCCCTCCCAGCGCTGCCACCGCTCCGCGACCGGGCGGGCCGGGGAGCGGCCTCTTGGTTATTCTTTAGCTGTTACTACTAACAAACTTGTAGCTAGACTTGTCCTTCACAAAGCTGATTACTCTCTGACTCCATACAAATGACCCTTTGCACCTGGCACTTCTTCTCCCTCTACACTCCCTTGTAGCACTCTTCATTTCAGAAAGAAGGTCACGGGCCGATAATCACTGTCACCAGACCCAGTCGCTGAGCCTCCTGATGCCAGCTTTGGCCATGAATTTGCAGAAGAAAAGAAATGCAAGACCTTCATTACTTTGAGCCGTATCACCTACCCTAGACCACAAGCCCCAGGCTATACAAACTTCCCCTATTACCCAGGGAAGGGGCACAGCTCTTGAGGTGCTACCCTGCTGTTACCCCCTTTGCCTGGCAAAAGGAATAAAGCTACTCTTTTCTACTTCCTCCAAACCCTGTCTCCGTATTTTTTCTTCGGCATTGGTGGACAGGGAGCCAAAATTTTGTCATTGAGAGTAAAAAGAACATTACTTATTAAATCCTGTTGATGAAGATACCTGACAACAATCCAGATTAATGTGGCAGGCCATAGTACCATTTAAAAAAAACTAATCACAAATGGAATCTTTGGAATCTCAACTGAAAATTCAAAGAAAGCAAACAAAATCTACCAAATGAAAGCATTATTTCAGAATGATAATATAAATTTGCCATTAATGGTTTTCAAATGGTGTTTAAGAAATCTTGATAGTATTCAAAACTATGCTAATCCTTGGTCAATATTCTGGACTAGAAAGTGCAGACAGCACTTGAAGGACAAACCAATGCTTTAAATATAAATAAATCGAATGGAACTGATATAAAAGCTAGATCTACAGTAGAGTACAAACACAACTTTAGATGTCACTTCCTTTAACTTTTAGGTTTGTGGGGGATTATGAATCACAGCCACAACCTTTTACAGTTCCTCCTGTCAAAAGGTGGGTTCTGGTTCCTCATACCAAGAGACTTGGTTGTGACTTGTTTTGACCAAAAGAATGTGAGGGAGTGACATTATGCAAGTCCTGAAACCTAGGCATTAAAAAGTCTGCAGCTTCTGGAGAGCTTGGTTCAAGATGGTGGAGTAGAAGGACATGCGCTCACTCCTTATTGCAAGAGCACCGGAATCACAACTAACTGCTGAACAACCATCAACAGGAAGACACTGGAACTCACCAAAAAAGGTACCCTACATCCAAAGACAAAGGAGAAGCTGCAATGAGACAGTAGGAGGGGCGCAATTACAATAAAATCAAATCCCATAACCGCTGGGTGGGTGACTCACAAACTGGAGAACAATTATACCACAGAAGTCCACCCACTGGAGCGAAGCTTCTGAGCCCCACATCAGGCTTCCCAACTGCGGGGGCGGCCAGCAACGGAAGGAGGAATTCGAAGGATATCGGGATTTGACTGCAGGACTTCTACGGGACCAGGGGAAACAGAGACTCTACTCTTGGAGGGTACACACGAAGTAGTGTGCGCATCAGGACGCAGGGGGAAAGAGCAGTGACCCCATAGGAGACTGAACCAGACCTACCTGCTAGTGTTGGAGGGTCTCCTGCAGAGGCAGGGGGTGGCTGTGGCTCACTGTGGGGACAAGGGCACTGGCAGAAGAAGTTCTGGGAAGTACTCCTTGGCGTGAGCCCTCCCAGAGTCCGCCATTAGCCCCACCAAAGAGCCTGTAGGCTCCAGTCCTGGGTCGCCTCAGGCCAAACAAATTACAGAATCATGAGCATAAATGGGTGTCCAGTAAGTACTGAAGGGGTTCATATACATAATTTCACATAAATATATGGTGATATATATTCTTAATAAAATTAAATATATTTTTTTCAAATATTAGTTGATGATTTGTAGGAGAGGAGAGTATCCTTTCCTATAAACACTGCTTTGGAACCAGGATTGTTAGTTGCCTGCATACTTGTGGGAGCAGAGATAATGAACAGATTACAGTTTTATAATAAAATAACTCGGGAATCAGGTTAATAGTTATCTAAGGCATTGAAAGGAGTAGAACAGGAAAGAACCTTCCTTATTTCTTTTGTATTTTTTTAATACCAAAACCCATATACTCCAGTTGCTGTTTCTAATTCCCAACACATCTTTAGCTACACACAGCTATCCTGGTCACCTTTACCTTCTACGGTGAGGGTGGCAATAGGAAAAGCAACATAGTCACAGAAGTGCAAAGGTTTCAAGTCATGGAAAAAACCACTTAATTACAGTACTTACATTAATGAAACATGTTACTCCAAAACTGGTGCTGGCAAACTTTTTCTGTAAAGGTTCAAATACTTTAGGCTTTGCAGATCATATGGCCTCTGTTGCAATTACTAAACTCTGCTCTTTTAATGAAACAATAATAAATGAATGGGTGTGACAGTATTCCAATAAAATTTTTTAAATTTTTATTGGAGTATAGTTGATTTATAATGTTGTGTTCAATAAAATTTTATTTACAAAGTAAGGCAGCAGGCTGGATTTGGCCTGTAGGCCATTGTTTGCAAAACTCTGCTTTAGAATAACATTTCCTCTTCTTTCTTTTTCAGTTCTCTTTAACTAGAACAGTTACTTAAGAAAAATATAATTTGCAGCAGAAAGATACAATGCCACTCTACCATTTACCAGGTTTATAAATTTGGGGACATTATTAAACCCCTCTCTGAGTTTGTTTTCTTATCTGTCAAATGGAAATAAAAATTTGTACCTCAACTGATGTTGAAAGGATTCAGTAATTGAACACATATAAATACTCTGATAGAACTGGTGGAACTCAATAGTCTTTCCCCTTCGTGAACCAGTAAGGATTACTTGAATATGAATATGTCATGAACTTCCTATTTGTCTTTGATCTTTATCTACTTACCAACATACTCACTGATCCTACAGCAATGGGTTTATCCTTCAGTTCTGGATTGTCCCTCATTTCTACAGCTGCATAGAAAGCATCCATGTCAATATGTACTATGGTATTGTTCAGATCCCGGCTGTGTTCCAATTCCATTGCAAATCTGTCAACCTTAATTTTTAAAAAGTTAACATACTTTAGACAACACAGTATTGAAATACCACTAATCATAACACTAATCTTTTTTTTTTTTTTTTTGGCCAAGTGACTTGTGGGATCTTAGTTCCCCAACCAGGGATCGAACCTGGCCCCATGGCAGTGAAAGAACCAAGTGCTAACCACTGGACCACCAGGGAATTCCCAACACTAATCTTACTTTTAGTAGGTGTCAATTTGTCTCTGTCTGTCCATCCATCCATCTGGCTACCCACTCACCCACCCATCCCCACACCTATCTATGTATATTCGATTATTGTTTATTAAGGCTTTTATTTTCATGAACATAGGCAGTCTGTTCTCAAATATCATTCCCTACTAACTCTTTCATTTTTCAATACCTACAAGTACATAACAGGTACTTAATAAATATCTACTGAATGAATAAAGCATTCCAACTGTTTATATATCAAATGATTCTACTGCTTTATAAATTTGGAAAACAACTTACTGTAACTAAAAGCTTCAGTTTAGGTAAAATAAACAACAACTCCCACCTGACCCATAATATTAACATCTTAAAATATTAACAAAGGAAATGTACAATAAAAGATTATACTTCTTTGGCATATGATGTTTATGCTGAATACTACTGTACAATCGATCGTCCTAAGGCATACTGTAAACATTTCCTCTGTAGAATTGCTTTTATAAGGCTAAAATTTGATAACTGTTAGTCTATTCAAATCAAAATTGAAAATTTAATCTGTAATTTATCCTTTCATGAAATTTCAACATATATAAATATATCAAATATAACAGTGAAGAATCTTTAAGGAATTTTTTTTTACAGAAATTTTTTTTTTGTAAAATTTTTACAGAAAATTTTACAAAAATTTTACAGAAATTTTTTTTACAGGGATTTTCTTTACAGAAAAAGAGTTGGATTGATAAGAAAGAAGAAAGAGAAATGAAAGAAATAACCAAGGTAGGGCAGTAAGAAAAGGGTTTATGTAGCAGACATACCCATTCCCAAGTGTTCCTTTTTTGTGGCCTCTACTATACAGGCTGAAAAAGCTAAATACACAGTTTTCTAGCTTCCCCTGCAGCTGGGGGTGGCTGTGTGACCATTTTGATTTAGTAACATATAAGGAAGTCAGTAAGAGCATTAAGTAAAATCATGAAGAGAAGAGAAAAGAAAGCTATTGAATGAAACAGAATACATAGAGAGCATGGAAGAGTGTCTTGGCACATGGTACAAGTTCAATAAATGCAATCTATTACTAAAAGGATCACTGGAGAACTGCATAACAAAGCAGTAAAAAATTAAGGGAAAAGCAGCCAGAAAGAAATAAGCAAGTGGTGTGAGCTCTGGAATGAAAGCAATTTCCATCATGTGGAGATCCCTAGAGTAGGTTTCCTAAAAGGTGGAGAGTTTCAGGGGCATAATTTAGCTTTTTCCCCTCGTTGGACTTCAACCTTGTTTTCATTCTGCAGAATTTTTTTTTTCAAGGTCTTCCTTCTTAACATTATAGTGACGCCTGGCCTACTAGCTACAAGTTAAAACCGCAACTCCTCTTTTTTTTTTAAAAAATATTTATTTATTTATTTATTTATTTATTTATGGCTGCATTGGGTCTTTGTTGCTGCATGCGGACTTTCTCTCGTTGTGGTGAGCAGTGGCTACTCTTCATCGCGGTGTGTGGGCTTCTCATTGTGGTGGCTTCTCTTGTGGAGTATGGGCTCTAGGTGCACAGGTTTCAGTAGTTGTGGCACATGGGCTTCAGTAGTTGTGGCACACGGGCTTAGTTGCTCTGTGGCATGTGGGATCTTCACGGACCAGGGCTCGAACCCGTGTCTCCTGCATTGGCAGGTGGATTCTTAACCACTGCACCACCAGGGGAACCCCGCAACTCCTCTTTTAGAAACAATCACCCTGATTCATATTTGTCTCCAGTAGCCATAGTGAGACTTTCTAGAGGATCCATTCCTGTTTAGGCTGCAACTCACTGAATAACCTGGGGTACTCTGTGCCTTCTTCAGGCTGTTCCTCTGTGCAGAATGCCCTTCCTAGTTCTGTCACCAACCCTTCAAGGATCAGCTCAGACGTGTCTCTGTAACTTAATTGGATCTCTGTCCTCTATGCCACAGAATTCAATGTTCCCTTACTTGTTTTCCTGCTCTTACTATGGCACTTACTGTAATATTAGACTCTAAATTGTGAGTTCCATCAGGAGAAAGACCTTATCTGCTTTAAAAAGTTTTTCTCAAAGGGAGATAAAGGGTACAAACTTCCAGTTACAAAATAAATGAGTCACAAGGATGAAGTGTAAAGCATGGGGAATAATACTGTAATAACTTTGTAAGATGACAGATGGTAACTATAGACTTATCCTGGTGATCATTTTGTAACATATAGAAATATTTAAACACTATATTGTGCACCTGAAACTAACATAGTGTCATAGGTCAATTGACCTACTTCAGTTAAAAAAAAAAGATGAGTAAGATTTGGGGTCTAAGGTACAGTATGATAACTATAGCTAACAATACTGTACTGATACGTGAAAGTTACTAGAATGTAAATTTTAAAGGTTCTCACAATGAAAATAAATAATGGTAACTATGTAAACAAGCAAACAAACAAATTCTTTCCTCATAAAAGAGAAAGGGGGCTTCCCTGGTGGCACAGTGGTTGAGAGTCCGCCTGCCCATGCAGGGGACACGGGTTCGTGCCCCGGTCCGGGAAGATCCCACATGCCGTGGAGTGGCTGGGCCCGTGAGCCATGGCCGCTGAGCCTGCGCGTCCGGAGCCTGTGCTCCGCAACGGGAGAGGCCACAACAGTGAGAGGCCCGCGTACCACAAAAAAAAAAAAAAAAAAAGAGAAAGGGAGGAGAGACTTGTACACCCATTTATACATATCAGTATAAATTTTATTCTTTTATATATATATTTATTCCATATATATAATATATATATTTCTGATTAAAAAAGAGAAAGTAGTATTTGTAGAAAAAGTTTGGAGAAGGCTATCTCATGCAGTGAGATACTACACCTAATAAATGGAACGTTTTAACATTACTCCAATTTATCATCCAGATTTAGAATAACTATTTCTTCCAGTACTTCAATTTCAAACTAGAGAATAGCATCCTGACATAAAAAAAGATGTAAACAGGGCTTCCCTCGTGGCGCAGTGGTTGAGAGTCCGCCTGCCGATGCAGGGGATGCGGGTTTGTGCCCCGGTCCGGGAGGATCCCACGTGCCGCGGAGCGGCTGGGCCCGTGGGCCATGGCCGCTGAGTCTGCACGTCCGGAGCCTGTGCTCCGCAACGGGAGACGCCACAACAGTGAGAGGCCCGCATACCGCAAAAAAAAAAAAAAAAAA